TGTTATGACCCATAGTAGGAAGCTTGAGAATTTTGCGCCTTAAAGATACGGTTGGGGTTCTGCATTATATTTCTCGAGCATTATAAACCACGGATTATAAACCACGTGAAATGAAATCAAATCAAATTGTTCTGCTCCTATATTGTGCTAATGAAGACGGGCATACTCTATACAGTGTGCTATGAGGAAAATTTTGCCCGGACAGCGGCACTACGGCCTACTCTTACATCGAATTCCAACTGTCAAGGGGTCTTTTACGTGCACGCCAATGTGTACACGGGACCTCGGTTTTTTGTCCCATCCAAACGACTATACAGCCGTCCTTGGCAGGCCCTCAGTCCTGCATCACTGACAAGTGGGAACTACGCCGGAAAATCTGGGTGAACTTTTTCGGCCATTGCAGGGATCGAACACCCGACCTCCAGGCTAGCGAGCCAGCGTCTTACCGACTTAGCCAGCGTGATTCCTCTAGTTTATATACAACTTAGTAGTATGGCTATCTTACAATAGACTATATTAAGTTACATTGCCACGAAATTATTTATTGGATAATTATTTCCAAATTAAGTTATTATTATTATATTGGATATATTCTGTAGTATATTTGAAAAGTTTAAACATTTAACAGGAGAAAAATTCCGGGATCGAGTGACGTAAAAAGCAAGTCCAATAGCAAACGGTTGCGAGGACATTTAGGCATAAACGTTTGGTAGACTAGTTGGAATAAGTTGACAAAGGATAATCCAAGAATATACTCATACTTCGATATTTTATGGCAAATGGACAGTGACTTACAAATACAAGCTGCAATTGAAAATAAAAAATAAATCTTTGTCTTCGATAAAATTAAGTGCCCGAAATGACATGACATTTTGGGATTTAACCACCGTGCAGTGTGCGTCAGTTTCCGGACATCGATCATTATTTGTGTCATAAATTGTGACCCCCATAGCATACTGAGTCACAATGAGGAAATTTTGAAAATTGAGTTATTGTTATTTTCACATTCTCCAACTCATTACCTTCAATTTGATGTATAGTTTGCTTGAATTGGGCAAAAATTGACTGAGCTGTGTCCATTAGAAGCTACCCAACTCACAAAAGTAAGTATTGAGAAAAATCAAATCGAAGATTTGGTATGTTCCAAAACAAAATCCCATAGCAACCAGGCCATTTATCTGCTGTTTTGTCGTTGAATATATCTTTCCATGGGTTTTCAGGGGTGCTGAAGACGAAAATCGTAGTAAAAATTTGATCCAACTATTTCCGCAATTTATTTGCTATTTTGTCGTTTAATATGTGAAATAATGAGTTGCTATTTTGTCGTTTAATATGGTAAATAATGAGTTGTCGACGGCTTTATCATTGACCCGTGACAATTGATTAGTAATAGTATTACTCAATGACACACCCCGCTTGTCGATTAATTTACATCATCAGCCACGTGGTTTCGATTAACACTCTATATACGATCAGAATTAATTTTTTTTCTGCCACTTATCAGAGTGAATCACATGAAGTTACCCAAAAACGTTATCGTCAAAACCAAATATTTATCGATAATGTCTTGCACGCGGTGTCTGGGCCAATCAGCAAACGAGTTGTGTAGACAGCATGGCAACAGGCAGAGTTTATTTATATTTTATTATTTTTTTGGGGGGTGGGGGTAAAATTCGATTGTATCAAAATCAATTCATCGACAATATTTTGATCATATTTGTAAACTAGAGATGCTCCGCTTTACAACGATGCCAATCATTATGCAAGAGGAATGGCCGGTCGTCCCGCTCAGAGCGAAGAAAAATAAAAAATTTCGCCGAGAATTTTAAAAATACTCTTACAAAACGTTCAAATACAGGTGTTTTAAAATGTTTTATTGCTATTTTGATCTTTTGTGTCGATAGATAGTATATTTATAGACTCATTTTTGTGAAAATCTCAATTTCGATCAAAATCAATATTTTCACTTATTTTGTCTTTATCTCATTATTGATTCACGCGCATTCCGACTCATTTAGCTGCGGCCGGTCACATTGTTTGTGAATCGGAAATTATTTTTATTTGATAAAAGGATAAAAATCAATGTAATAAAGAGTCTAGCGCCACTTTAACGTAGTCACTCTGCTTTAAGCGAGACATTTTTTTTATCTGTTATCTGAATTCGTTATTATTCGGCTCATTAGTTTTGGGAAAGTGAAATTTTGTGAATGCAACATTCTGTCTGATTGATTTGAGTTCAAATGAGCATTGCTTGGGATTAAGGTTGAAAAACGATATAAATACATACATTTTCCGCTTTCGGGTGCTAAAATAGCAGGAAACGCGGAAAGTCATCAACTTAAACTATGAATATCGATAGAGTTCGTCCTAAAATTTGAAAAGAATCATTTACCAACTAGACTCTCGGTCACAACGTTTTCGGAAAAAGGGAGCGGTGCTTCCAGAATATAGATAGGGTTCATCATCTCATCACCACAATGCTCCACAACGTTAGAATCTCTGTAGCCGCTATGGCGTTCACAAGGTGTTCAAACACGTTTAAAAAAATTCGGAGAAACATTCAAGACACAAAATGTGGGTTTGATAGTTTTCGCCAAAAGCTCTACAAATACTAATCTGATTTCACCGAAAAGACATATAGATCCCTGTCGTGTCATAACAATTTGATGAAAACTGCGGCCCCTATCGTGCTGACAGACATATTCGGGGCCAACTTTAACCTCACGTGTACCGACAATCATTACCAGTAGTGTGGCCATTTTTTGTTTCCTTAAAGTTTTATAAAAATCCAATAAAAACTATTACAATTACAAGAAGTATGGCGAGTTCGGTGAAATATGTAAACTGTAGCCTATTTAACGTTGAAAACACATATAAACGGATCGACGGGTGGAAAGGGGTGATTACAATATACGTTCACATTAATATCTGGGCGTATTACAAAACGCATTGTATGACAAATCGGTTTAAACATGAAAAGTGTTATCATCAAACTAATAACACGACCCCTCCATCAGATAGCTATATTTACGAACTTACTGTAATTTGATATTTTAGTGAACATCTGCTTCGGATTTGAGGTAGTGGGCCCTATACCTACACAACCACTCACAGGAATAAAGATAGCCACACAAAACCCAGTAAATATGCCCACACAGCAGCAATGTCTCGACAGCAGCTTATTAGAAAGGAAAAGTTGGGTGTTGGGTGAATTTGATATATCGGCTAGGATGAGGGTAAACTCTGGAACGGAAAGTCACAGATAGCAGAATATCCATAGGATTTTTCCTCTTATGGTGGCAATGCTGTACACCAATAATGGTTTAACTCTTGAACATAAAATCGAAGAACACTGAATATCGGTAGGGTTTGTTTTCGCATAACTCCACGGCTTTCCACCAAATTTGAAAATAATCAGTTAAAGCTGTAGCCCCTATCAAGTTCACGAGGTTTTCAGCAAAGGGGGATAACTCCAGAAATTAAAGTCGCGGAACGTTGCAAATTATTAGGGTTCAGATTCTCATGACCCTGATACTTCCCACTCAATTAGAAAAGGGGGATAAATCTGGGGCAAATAGTCACGGAACGCTGAAAATCAATGCGGGTTATCCCGAATACTCTTCACCAAATTAAAAAAAACATCCCGCTAAGAACTATCGCATTCACAACGTTTTAAATAGCTAAATCTCTAGTATGAAACGTCGTGGGAAGCTGAATATCGCTTTGATTCGTCCTCTTATGACCACAATGCTTCACTCTGAATTTGAAAAAAAAATCCGACAAAACCTGTAGTTTTTATCGCGTTGACAATTGTTGACGGTCGAACCGATGGAGAGGGTGACAACAGAAATGTGGGCGCCTACAAATGTAAATGGTCGATAAGATTAAACATTATATTTATTATACTGGTACTTTCATCAAAATTCGTGTATACACATTGAAAATCATGCTGTAAAGCAAAGATTAATAAAATCAAATGTTTGGTCAATATCACATGAGCCTTGAATGACACAAAAATTTCAACAAATAAGTAATATGCAGTCGGTAAACCATACAGGTAAAGATGGTACAGTATAGATTAGCAAGAGGCTAATATGTTCGTGTGATACCAAAGGCAAATGCCCAGTTACGACGACCCTGTATCTTTGCTTAACCTAAGCAGTAAATGTCCTTTTGATCCTGTGTTGATATGTAACATGCATCTAAGAACCCTGAATGATGTCTTTCTATGAACACAAACCTAACTTCTGAAACGCCGCATGTTGCCTATCTCAGCTTATAACGAGAGGCGGCACTAGGGGGAATCGCCAAGATATCGTCATAATTGGTACAATGGAATCTGAGATTGATCCCAGGGACCAACCATGTACTATATGTACTTGATTTAAAAACAATAATTAACTTTTCTTCCAAATGCGTTGTGAGCCGCGGTGGTTCAGCGATTAAGACGTTGGCTCACTATCCAGATCTCCGGTTTGCAACCGGTGTTGGCCGAGAAAGTACCTCAGGATTTTCCAGAACGATTCTCCCTTGTAAGTTTGGATGGAATGAAAACTCGTGTACACGTCGGCGTGAACGTACACGATCCCCTGAGAGTTGCAATTTGAAATAGGAGTAGGCCGTAGCGCTGCTGTCCGGGAAGATTTCCCTTATAGCTGACAGTCATTTCTAATTGAGGTAGTATGATCTAACTTGGTGTTTCCGTCGGCTTCAGTTTCGGTGAATCATTTTTTATAATTGTAATCCAGCCGTCATACAGACATCTGTCAGTTAATATTGTTTTACAACGTTTATCGGACATCTTGCTGGCGGGTGGGTTTTTCTGGATAATAAATAAGACTGTCGTAATCTTTTTTTTATGTATTTATAATCTACTATTAATCGTATCATGGCCGTAAAACTAACTAAAGAAATAAGATCATATATTTTGATTAATTAATGGCCTTAAAACTACCTAAAGAAATAAAAACATACATTTTGATTAATTAAGATTGCTTTATTTAGAAATTAATTAAGATAACAATAGATATAGCGTAAAAATGAAAATTAAACCAAATCTTAATAATAGGTATATATTAAATAAAAATATCAAACCAAATCATTAAATATCGAAAACAAATTATTAATACTTTGATCATAAATACAATTTGCACTTAATTACAATTTGGCACTTGGATTGCAATAACTGTCCAGGCAGAATTTCCTTTAGAGCATACTGCATGGCGTATGCCCTTCTTCGATAGTCTGGTTGGGGCAGAACAATAGGATGTTAATCCCCCATTTAATTCATTCAGTGTTTTACGAATAAACAAAATTTATACAGCTAACGATAGTCTATTAAGATAATGTTATAAAATATAGTAAATGGCAAGCAAAGAAAGCGACAATCTTAACCCATTCATAATTAAATGAATTATGATGCCTCGGGAAACTATATACACAGTGAATATCCCTTTAGCATACAAAATATAACATAGCTAGAAAATAATCCTATTTAAAAAAAAACAAAAAAAAAACCAACAAAAAAGCAAAAAAAAAAAAAAAACCACACACACAATGGAATACTGTATACTGTAAAGGACATACTAAGTTAAATTTTATATCTGACCATATTCTGATAAGTTTTCTATCAGAGGCTTTACTTTTAAGGCATTAGATCATCCATATTATTAATAGCAGTAGTTATCTTTAACCAGAATAATTCCACACTTTCTTCATCCCAGCCCCATTTAATATAATTATCAACAGCCAGTATTTTATGTATGGTTTTTGTTACATTCAAGGCACCAAGCTCCTTAAACACTACTACAATCATTAAATCTCGCTTTTCATTGATATACTTATCATAGGCAAAACTAGCTTCAAATTCACAATAACCGTCTTCAACATATTTATCAGATATAAATAATATGACTTTACGACTGGCATCCATATTGGATATTATTTGATCAATTTTATTTCCCTGCCCATCTCTTTGAGGGATATAAAGTCGCAGACCCATATCCTCTTGTAATCTAGGTACAAGGACATCATATATTACGTCATCAAAATCTGCATCACAAGAACTAAGATATACATCATAATTATAATTCCCGCCACCATTTAAAAGTCTTTGGTAGCGAACGTGTTGAAATCGTGCCATGTATAATATATATCGTAAATACCATCGATAACGGTAAACAACAGAAATAGTAAAAAGTAAGAGAAGAATTCCTGCCGATACAGATATAATAATTAAACGGGCCTGATACGTTATTGCGCATGTGCGTTCAGAAAGCCTGACCTGTAAGAGTTGCTTCCCACTGTAAACTGTGGGAGAACCACAGATGTATTCTTTTGGAAAACGAATAAAACGTTTTCTGATGGGGCTTGTTTTTAGAAAATTGATGAACCAAAGTAATTCACAGGAGCAAGAAAACGGATTGTTAGAAAGATCAATGCCTTTCACTTGTTTAAGAAATTGAAGTGAAAATGTATTTGGTTTAACTGTGGTGATTTTATTTGAATATATTTCTATTTTTTGTAGAGAATTGAGATTATTGAAATAGCCCTCCGGTATATATATAATGTTATTATGGCCAAGCAATAACTCCACTAATTTATCAAGATATTTTGGAATAAAACGTGGAAGTAACTGAACTCCGCCGTGGGCTAGTGACAGATTTTTTAAATTGGCCAGAGTACTGAACATTTCTTCGAACATTTGATGTGTAGTAAACTCGAAGTGGTTCGATGATAACATTAAAGCTTCCAAATGTGTGCAGTTTTTGAAAGCATCCTTACTGACGTACTTTAGTTTATTAACAAAATACATGTCGTTGTCATATAGATAGAGTTTTTTCAGGGATGAACTATTAAAAGCAAATTCTTGTAAAGCCATATCTGGTCCATTGTATGAAATTGATACAAGATAAAGCTTTGGTAAGTTTGAAAACGTGTTACTCTCTATCAAATGTATATGATTATTATCAATATAAAACTGTGTAAGGAATTTCATACAAGTAAACAGTTCTGGCTTTATAGACTTTATGTTGTTATGGCCTAAATCCAAATAAGTAAGATGTGGAAAATACGCATAGCCATTTACACAAAATGTTGGGAATTCGAAAAATTGGTTATGAGGAAATTCTAACGTCTTTAATGTTGACGAATTATCAAAAGTAGCCGTATTCATAGAAGATTTGAAAATTTGGATTACCTTCAGATGTTTTAAAGTTGACAATTTACTCTGATTATAATGTGTTATTTTAATATTCCGTAAGTGTAAATTGGTGATCTTTGAATGTGTCATAATCCTGTCTAAATCTAGATCCCAAGACTTCTCTAAGTCTATAAATTCTAAATCCAGATCTTTTAAATCTTTTGTTATGCCAGACAAACAATCCATTAATTCCATACTTGAAATGGTATTATTTCTTATAAATAAAGATCGTAAAGATTTCAGACCATTAAATGCATTTCGTGTGCAGTTATGTATTGAGCTATTCCTTAAAACCAAAAATATCAACTGAAACTCGGTAACGTTAGTAAAAGTTTCATTGTCTATATATGGTAGATAATTACTAGTAAAATTAAGCTTTGTTATGTTTTGTTCAAATCTGGGAATATAATTCAGTTGGTGACCATGATTTACACATCGTGCTTGGTATCCTTTACACTGGCACATATTGTCTCCACATCTCGTCCAATTCTGTTTCTTCGGGGATAGAATAAAATCCCCCAATCCATCTTCTGACGTCTCCTTCAAGTTGATATCCATTTCCTTATCATGGTTTAATGTGATGGTATGAACAGGACATACGACCAGTAACAGAAACATCCACTTAAAAGTTGCCATCAGTATCTGTAAAGACAGAAATATAAATATAATAGTATTCTAGAAATATTATGAATGGTTTTACGAACAAGCGGATACTTGAGCTTTCTGGCTATACTAAAGTTCTAACCCAGTAGAAATCGCCAATCTGTTTACGAACACGGGAATACTTGAGCTTTCTGGCTACAATAGCGTTGAACAAGCTGGCCACATTTAATTAGCAGATATTTAGTTGAAAAGTGATTAATAAAGATCAGGAAACATAAAATTAATCATACACAAATACTACGGAAAACAAAGTGACTATTTTCGATTTAAGATTGGCGGTATATTTGTTTATGATGATATCAGTGATGATCATTAGTAAAACATTAATATTCGTCTTTTTCGCTTTTGCGTTTATGATGCAATGCCGAAAATTGGCGTGTAATTTTATAGTGGTGTGGGGGTTCAAAACGTGGTTCGAAATTAGTCTAAATGATAACTTATCGATTAAAAAAACATTAATGTCTAGCACTATGGAACTCTAACATTGTCTATCTAGCTTAAGGATAGGGGATTTTGTATATGCCCGCATTTTCATGTGGACGTATATTGTCGTCGCCCCTGTCCATCTACAGGTCATAGTTTCTATTCGATTTTGACGAAACTTGAAATATAGGTTTATCTCCCACAGATCTCGATTCGTGTCGATATGGGCATGTATCGGATTGTAACTTCTCATGGACTATCTGATTATACAAAAAATCATATTTTTAGCTTGTGGCCACTCTAGAGGTCACAAGTTTATATCCGATTTTAAACTCCGTTCAAATATTACAGCACAATTACGGTTGAATTCGAATTTCATGAAATTCGGACCGAAACTGCCCGATAAAATGGCCGCGCACCGTACGCTAATAGTGTACAAGTATGCAACGCCAAGGTTGTGGACCCTCCGGTGGTCACAATTTTTATCCGATTTTGATGGAACTTAAAATATATACTCTTCAAAAAAGTAGGGGAGATTGAAATGCAAATACCTATGCAGGTTGTGATATGATAAATAGTCATGGACACTTGACATGTTTTGAGAGTATGTTCACAGATGAAGAACTTATCGCCCCAAACAGAACTACTGAGCTGCATGTGCGACACGCAATAGCGCCATACACGTGGGAGGGGTTCATTGTCAAATTTGACACTTCAAGGAAGGGTTGATGAAAACTGTCGCTTGCTGGTTTATCCTATCTATGTTTGCTTTCCTATCGGTTTTTTCATAAGATTTACTGTTTAGAGTATCTTTGCTTTAGTGTGTTACATTTAATTTGATCGGGAGACGTGTTCGTCAACGTCAATCGACAACACTGCAAGAATTGGCCGTGGCACTGCAAGAGGAGTTGGTCAGATTGCTTCAAATCGTGATTGAACGGTTGATTAGAAGCATGCCACGACGAATTGCTGAATGTCTGAAGATTGGTGGAGCAATTACTCATTATTAAGACAAAATCAAAAACGTCCATTTTCACTTTTGACAGTGTATCTCTTTGCGAGTGAAATGGGACCGTCAGATAAGCCGCCCATATGAACTGTTTATGTTCATGTGTAGGCAATTGGCATGTTATTAACATACACTGGTTACCTCTAATAAAAACAGCAGTGCATTTGCGCAGTTTTATATTGTTACTGAATATCCCCTACTTTTTTTTTGAAGAGTATACGTTTATATCTTAAAGATCTTGGATAGTCGCAGATATCAGTCGGTAATTTCGTGGATGACGTCCCCTGATGGTAAGAAAAATGGCATGTTGGGCTTGTGGCCCCTCTAAAGGCATAGTTATTTTTTCGATTTTAAACTGTTTCACCCTAATGACTGTTGAGGTCGAATTGCGTGAAAATAGGACAGAAACAGCCCGATAAAATGGCCCCGCCTAGTAAGCAAACAGTGTAAAAATATATGCTTAAACGTTGTGGGCCCTGTAGATGTCACAATTTTTATCCGATTTTTATGAAGCTCAAAATATATGTCTGTATCCCAAAGGTCTGGGTTCCTTTCAATACTTGCGCGTATCGGGCTCTAAATTTCTAGATTATGGTACCAAATTATACGAAACATCGCTTTTTCGTAGCTTGTTTTCTGTCCACCTCTTGCAAAATGTGTGCAAGTACATTTTACCCGAAAGGTTACCATGCCATCTAACGCTGACAATAAGTGTAGCATACTGTGAGGAACATTTTGGAAGACATGCAATACTATGAATATTTGTAAGGTATATTAAAAATACCCGCCCCACCACACACACCAATGTATTTATTCTGCAAGAAACGTTTAGAAACAGCTCTGAAAGTAATCGAAAATAAGTAATACAGCCGCAAAACAAACGAGCGAATTCTCTCTTCACTAGACATCATTAATTGAATGCACCCGATTTGTGGAATACCCTTACACTCCTACATCATGCGCGATTGTCCCATTTTACGTAGGTGCGGTGGTAATGTTTATGTTCTGAGAAATTTGCAAGTGTCGAAAGATTTGAAGGCGTTAAAGGTCGACAAAGAAAGGTAAAGGAATGACAATTCCAGGTTTGTCGATAAGTTTAACCATATTACAGACAGTAATTACCGGACTAGTTAATTCGAGGGTGATGTTACTACAAATCATGTCATATATTATGCATTTATATGTTCCCTCAATTTGACTCTTGAATCACGTTGGCACCTTCGGTGGCCATTCTGTGGTGGCTACCATCCAATATAAGTGACCATGGGACTACTGCTATTCATACTGGAAACTATATTTTTATTTAGTAGATATCTGAATTTGTATTGGAAATTATATAAGTTGGAATATATACATATCAATCAATGATTATATTCACTTCTGCAATTGTTACATATTCCATTCAGTTGATTTCAGTTGTCCAAAGGTAAGTGGTATAACATTGACACACGACACTCCACGATATAAAGAGGAGGTTAGTAAAATATATGAACAAGTAGATCAAAATGCATTTGTTTACGATATAGTAGCTTTGCATGCTATAAATCAACAGAATACAAAAAAAGAAGGCCACTGAGGACATAAATATGACCTGTGATCTGCGTCGTTGATAGACATATAATACATAACTTAACATAAAAGCAGTTTATTGGGATATGTCTCGCTGGGACTTTCCTTCTGAGTGGAAGATGACCGCAAATGAAAGCATAACGTTGCAAAAGTTAATCCTAGGAGGTGGAATAAGACAATATAAAGAGCTATCATAAACTTCATCAAAATCTATTTAAGGATACATTTCCGCGAAATTATTTATACTTATAGTGCAGTTATTTCCAATAAGTATGAACTATTTGGTATATATGAAAAGTAAATAGCGACACCCAATCTTGTTGGAAAAAATAACAACAATATTGATTGAAATGGACCAATATTGAATTTTAATTTCGGATATAACTCTGAATGATGTCTAGACGCGCCAGATGAGTTCCATGAGTCTTGAACCCAAACCTTACTTCTGAAACGCTACATGATGCCTAACGAGAGGCGGCTCTACCGAGAACCGCCGTTAAGATATCTTCATAATTGGTACAAGGGAATCTGAGATTGACCCCATCCACTATGATTAACTTAACTCCCAATTGAGGCGTGAGCCGCGGTGGCTCACTAAGTACATCGACTCGCTATCCAGATCTCCGGTTTGCACCCGGTGTTGGCCAAGAAAGTACCTCAGGATTTTCCAGAACGGTTCCCCCTTGTCAGTGATGCAGGATGGAGGTCCTGGGGAGGACAGCTATCTAGTCGTTCGGATGGGACAGAACCTGTGTACACGTCGGCGTGCACGTAATCGATCCATTGACAGTTGCAAATCAAAATAAGAGTAGGCCGTAGTGCTGCTGTCCAGACAAAATTCTCCTTGTAGTAGACTGTATGGCGTATGCCCGTCTTCGTCGGTTCAGAAATGTAGACCGCTAAATCCCAGTTGAGGTACTATGATCTAACTTGATGTTTCCGCCGGCTTCAGTCTCGGTGAACCATACTATGAAAAAATATGATTGTGACCCAGGCGTCATACAGGAAACTGTCAATAAATATTATCTTACAACGTATTTCCGACATTCTATTGATGTTTCTCTTGATAAGAAATAAGACTATTGTTATCATTTTCACATTCAAAATCTACTAGTATTCGTACCATGGCCTTAAAACTAGCTAAACAAAACAGGTCATATATTTTGATTAATTAAGTTTGCTTTATTTAGAAATTAATTAAGATAACAATAGATATAGAGTAAACATTAAAATCAAACCAAATCTTAATAATAGGTATATTATTATATTGAATACAAATATATGACCAAATCATTTATTAATACTTTAATCATAATATATCTAGTAATGATATTCGGTCCCATGAACACGTTGGGTGCACATAATTAAAATTTGGCAATTTTAATGTAATTACAGTCGAAGCAGAATTTTTCCCGGAGCATACTGCATGGCGTATGCCCGTCTTCAACTGCCTGGTTGGTGTAGAACAATAGGATGTTAATCCCCCATTTAATTCATTCAGTGTTTTGCGAATAAGCAAAATTTATACAGCTAACGATAGTCTATTAAGATAATGTTATAAAATATAGTAAATGGCAATCAAGGAAAGCGACAATCTTAAACGTGTCATAATTAAATGAATTACAATACCTCGGGAAACTATATACACAGTGAATATCAAAAAAAAAAAAAAATAAATAAAAAAAATAGAATAACATAGCTATAGTAAATCATCATATTTAAAAATATTAAATGTTATACTGTAAAGGACACTCAAAGACAAAGACTTTACATACTAAGTTAAATTTTAATCTAAACATATTCTTTTAAGGTATTAGATCATCCATATTATTAATAGCAGTCGTTATCTTTAACCAGAATAATTCCACACTTTCTTCATCCCAGCCCCATTTAATATAATTATCAACAGCCAGTATTTTATGTATGGTTTTTGTTACATTCAAGGCACCAAGCTCCTTAAATACTACTACAATCATTAAATCACGCTTTTCATTAATATACTTATTATAGGCATAACTAGCTTCAAATTCACAATAACCGTCTTCAACATATTTATCAGAAATAAATAATATGATTTTACGACTGGCATCCATATTGGATATTATTTGATCAATTTTATTTCCCTGTCCATCTCTTTGGGGGATATAAAGTCGCAGACCCATATCCACCTCTAATCTAGGTACAAGGTAATCATATATTACGTCATCAAAATCTGCATCACAAGAACTAAGATATACATCATGATTATAATTCTCGCCACCATTTAAAAGTCTTTGGTAGCGAACGTGTTGAAATCGTGCCATGTATAATATATATCGTAAATACCATCGATAACGGTAAACAACAGAAATAGTTAATACTAAGAGAAGAATTCCTGCCGATACAGATATAATAATTAAACGGGTCTGATACGTTATTGCGCATGTACGTTCAGAAAGTCTGACTTGTAAGAGTTGCTTCCCACTGTAAACTGTGGGAGAACCACAGATGTATTCTTTTGGAAAATGAATAAAACGTTTTCTGATGGGGCTTGTTTTTAGAAAATTGATGAACCAAAGTAATTCACAGGTGCAAGAAAACGTATTGTTAGACAGATCAATGCTTTTAACTTTTTTAAGAAATTGAAGTGAAAATGTATTTGGTTTAACTGTGGTTATTTTATTTGAATTTAATTGTACATTCTGTAAGGAATGGAGACTAATGAAATAACCTTCCGGTATATATATAATGTTATTATGGCTAAGCCACAAGGTCTTCAATTTGCCCAGATATTTTGGAATAAAACTTGGAAGAAACTGAACTCCGCCGTGGGCTAGTGACAATATTCTTAAATTAACCAGAGTACTGAATGTTTCTTCGAACATTTGACTTGTAGTAAACTCGAAGTGATTCGATGATACTCTTAAAACTTCCAATTGAGTGCAATATTTAAAAGCATCCTTACTGACGTGCTTTTGTCCATCAACAAAATACATGTCGTTGTCATTTAGATAGAGTTCTTTCAGGGATGAACTATTAAAAGCAAATTCTTGTAAAACCATATCTGGTCCATTGTATGAAATTGATACAAGTAAAAGCTTTGGTAAGTTTAAAAACGTGTTACTCTCTATCAAATGAATGCGGTTATTATCAATCTCAAACTGTTTGAGGAATTTCAAACAAGTGAGTAGTTCTGGCTTTATAGATTGTATGTTGTTATGGCCTAAATTCAAATAAGTAAGATGTGGAAAATACGCATAGTCATTTACACAAAATTTTGGGAATTCGAAAAATTGGTTATGAGCAAATTCTAACTTCTTTAATGTTGACGAATAATCAAAAGTAACCGTATTCATAGAGGATTTGTAAATTTGGATGATCTCCAGATGTTTTAAAGTTGACAATTTACTCTGATTATAATGTGGTATTTCAATACTCCGTAAGTGTAAATTGGAGATCTTTGAATGTGTCATAATCTTGTCTAAATCTAGATCCCAAGGTTTATCTAAGTATATAAATTCTAAATCAAGATGATTTAAATCTTTTGTTATGCCAGACAAACAATCCATTAGTTCCATACTTGAAATGGTATTATTTCTTATAAATAAAGATCGTAAAGATTTCAGACCATTAAATGCATTTCGTGTGCAGTTTTTTATTGATGTATTTCTTAAAACCAAAAATATCAGTTGAAACTCGGTAACGTTAGTAAAAGTTTCATTATCTATAAATGGTAGATAATTACTAGTAAAATTAAGCTTTGTTATGTTTTTCTCAAATCTGGGAATATAATTCAGTTGGTGACCATGATTTACACAGCGTGCTTGGTATCCTTTACACTGGCACATATTGTCTCCACATCTAGTCCAATTCTGTTTCTTTTGGGATACAATAAAATCCCCCAATCCATTTTCTGACGTCTCCTTCAAGTTAATATCCCTTTCCTTACCATAGTTTAATGTGATGGTTTCAACAGGATATACGACCAGTAATAGAAACGTCCACTTTAAAGTTTCCATAAGTATCTGTAAAGATATGAATACAGTTTGATTGAATGGGTGGAATTCAGGTCGGCATAGAGTGGGATTTCGGTTGCAAACCGATTCAAGACTTTGAAGTCGCTTAAGGTAGTTAAGGCTCTAACTCAATATCATCCAAAGTCTTCAACATTGAAATCACGAATTATTTGTCAGTTTGAATCAACATTGATGTTATGATCTTACCGAGAAAATATAGGCCTCTGATATCCAATATTTAAGAAAAAATAAAACGTGTACCATAATGCGTTTCTGTGCCATTTGTAAGAAGGACTCGAAGTACGAGGCTAGATATATTCCACAAGTCATGTCAAACGGTGACCTCATATTCTTGTCTGAAGGGCATGCGTAATAAACACTATCGGTGTAGACTGGAATAACCAGACGCTAGAGATTGTCATTCGATTGAGACTTCTGGCATATTTCACCGAACATAACTGATTTGAAATTAGAGTAAAGACAAAAACGATTGAATGTAAATCAGTTTTTATACATTCATATTACATTATATGCGTTGCGACCCATTTGTAATTTTTTCGGGCAGTGCAGATTCCCCCACACCCTACTCCTCTAACATTCATCGAGCCCGTACGCCGATGCATCACGGGACCATTTTATGTAGAAATTTATCTGATATTTCTAGACGTATCTTGGTCAGAGGACACCGATGAAACACTTTTCATGAATAACACCAACCATATAATTATTGTTGGTGTTATATGTATAGGATATTGAACTACCCGAGGTTGATATGATAGAGAACCCAGTGTTCTCTATCATATCAATCCGAGAGTGAGAAGGTTTATATCCGACATATACAACGTCATAGTTTTAATCACCCGTAAAGTAAATGGATTCTTCCATTAAAAGTCAACAATGATTGGATAATTGCTCGATAGTTTCCGAGAAATAACGAAAAATACCGAATCAATCACGCGAATGCATTGTTTATACTGTCGCCATTTTGGAGTGGATATAAGTGCAATTGAAATGAAAGCAAAAACAAAATGGATAGTAATACGTTATCAGACGAATAATCAATTCATTTTAGCCAAAAGATCGACGGTGGAATAGAAGTGAATGCAAATTCCGACGCGGATCTGCTGCTCGTCAAAGGCCGAAGAAATTTGGATCAAAAGGCAGTCTTTTCCGATAATTCTGACAGTGAACCGTGAAGGTTTTCGGTATGTTCTGAGAAGGATTTGACAGACTGTGTTAAGTGGGCTGTACCCCAAAATACTTTACAAAGGAACTCTTTGGCTATAAATACTTTCAAGTCTTAGAGTGTGTGGAGAAATAATCGAAATGTGGACGAAAAAAAAGATATCTTTAACATGGATAACCGATCTAAATATGCCGATAAGTACGCTGTCGATTTCGGTGCTGAATGCTGCAAACGGTCAATAAAAAATGTTACTTGTCCAAAGAATATCAACGGTTGATATGAAATGAAATGAAATGGGGTTTAACGTCCTACTATTCTGCTCCTATACTGGGCTAATGAAGACGGGCATACGCCATACAGTGTGCTATGAGGGAAATTTTGCCCGGGCAGCGGCACTATCGCCTACTCTTATATCGAATTCCAACTGCCAATTGATCTTTTACGTGCATTCCAATGTTTACACGGGACCTCAGTTTTTCGTCTCATCCGAAGGACTAGACAGCTGTCCTTGTCAGGCCCTCCGGCCTGCATCACTGACAAGGGGAAACCACGTCGGAAAATCGGGATGAACTTTCTCGGCCAATGCAGGGATCGAACACCCGACCTCCAGGCTAGCGAGCCAGCGCCTTACCCACCTAGCCACCGTGCCCCCCCCCCCCGGTTGATATGAACCGAATATATCAACCTATGATGACTTCATGACAGGTTGATATGAGATATAATTACTGCTATGCACATCAATGAAAAAACTACCGCCAGTTGTATATACATACATATACAATTTCACACACCGTCTTCTTTATATTATATATTGCTATCTGCATACTTCATCAATTCCCGTCTTCATTAACTCAATCGGAGCGGAACAGTAGGGGAGAGAGAGAGAAATGGGGTTTAACGTCCACTCGACACAAACTAGGTCATTTCGGGACTAACATATGGTTTAATTTTATTTACATAATTCGCTTGCGCGTAGGGGTCTTTAGCAGTGGGAGGAAACCAAAGGACCCGGAGAAAACCCACGAGGTTGGACAGGCGACCCTACTCCTTGTCACGTACAACCGGGGATTCGAAACCACGCCAGTCGACTCAATGACAGACTTTATGATACAGCGCGCGCACGCTAACCATTCAGCCATCCAACCGCCCCCCCCCCCCCCGGAACAGTAGGACGTTAAACCCCATTTCGTTTTATTCAATAAGGAAGTTACTCAACTCTATTTTTTAAAATTTTATTCAACAAGGAAGTTACTCAAATATCTATTTTATTTTTACACATGTGAAGACTTTCAGGGACATAAAAGGTTTGATTATTCATTTTATTCGTGCAAAGCAGTGGGGTGTTACGATAGAAATAGAAGATGTTAATACAGCCGTCTTAATGCTATGTTCCCACTATAGTGAGGCTGGTGTCCCCCGCCGAAATCCCGAAATAAATAGATGACACATATTAATTAAATGCACACTTATCTTTTTCAAAAGTATTGAGCAATCAAACTGATTATTTATACTTAGTCCAAGAGAGGGGGGGGGGGGCGGGGCGGGGTTTAACGTCCACTTGACACAAACTAGGTCATTTCGGACTAACATGATATATTCAATTTTATTTAAGTCATTCGCTTGCTCGTAGTGGGAGGAAACCGGAGGACCCGGAGAAACCCACGAGATTGGACAGGCGACCCTACTCCTTTTCATGTACAACCGGGGAATCGAAACCACGCCAGTTGACTTATAGACATACCTTATGATACAGCGCCCACGCGCTAACCATCCGACCATCCAACCCCACTCTTATTCTAAGCATAAAATGTTTACGATCAAACCCAGTCAATAATTTGAAGTACGTGTTAGTGAAACTATACAATACGTTTCACCACTCCCCACTAGTTAGTATCAAAGTTATCTTTTCCCAAAGCATCGACCAATGAAATTGCTTAGGTCTGCTTAATGTTAATCATTGAACTCCGTCAAGGCATTCACCTAATGAACGCCTACCTACACCAAGTTTGAACATTCTACCTCAATTAGAAGATGTATTGTGTTCCAAAGTCTCGACCAATTAAATTGCTTACTGCTCTGCATACTCTGAGCAGAAATGTTCAGTATCGCTTTAAGTCAAGGTACTGATGTAATGAAACTATACACCACACCCAAGGCAGCAGCCAATCAATTTGCTTATCACTGCCTACCCTTACTCATCTTCGAACTTCATCAAGTCATCCACTACCTCAATTAGAAGGATAGTTATTGTGTTCCAAAGTCAAATGGCTTATCGCTCTGCTTGAACCATATATTAGTCCCGAAATGACCTTGTTTGTGTGGTGGGGACGTTAAACACCATTTTCGCCCTCTTCTTTGATCATCATGTAGAGTAAATAAATGAAATTGTAATTCAAAATGTATCCCACAGTGGCAAGTGAATATGACCTTTGGTCCGTGTCATTGAGAACATATAATACACATCTTAAAATTGACATAAAGACTTTACTAAGCTAAACACCAACATATTGATATTTAAGAGAAGATAATAAAAGCAATCTATTTGGATTCTTATGGCTGCAGAGACTTTCCTTGTGGGTGGCAGATGACCACAAATGAATGCATGCGGTTACCAAAAATAATCTAAGGTAAATAAATAGGACAGTTTAAGAGGGTTATTATAAAGTTCTCCAAATTCTATTTATGCTGGCGTCACCAGATGGCCATACGAATATGGACTTTTGAATTTCGTGCGAAGATGGACCCAAACTTGGTCAGAAACAAATCAACAGCCCACAGAACGTCACACGATGGCATCCGAACCACACACAAAGGTAATACGGAATTGTGAATTTTGTATAGTAATGGACATACGAAGGTCACACGATAGCACTGTAGAGTTGCTCAGGACTGACTCAGGAAGATGCTATATTGGGAGTCGCATCTCTCGAAATTTACACTTCGATAGTAAATTCGGCTCTAATCGTAATATCATCGGGCCATTCCTGAGGGCATCTTAAGCCATCGTATGACTGCCTGTGAAGTTTTTTAAGGCTGCGGTAAAATATTTGGCATGCCAAACAAATGCCGAAAGATCTTGCAAAGTTTCATTTTCGTGTTGTCTCCATTTTGCCCCCCATAAGGCCACCGTGAGGGTGTTGCGAGGGCTTCAAGGAGTCGTGTGGCCTTCCCAAGGACAGATTCTTGTTTACTTCGTATTGTGTTCGCATAGAGAATAAGCGGTTGTCATGCGAGATATGCCCACATTTTGCAAGAGATGGACAGAGGACAGGCTAAGACCCCCCCCCCCAAAAAAAAAAAACAAACAAAAAAACACCGATTTTACGTACAATCAGGGGCCATAATTTAGGTAGTTGTGGTCCAATATGGGTTGAAAACATACAATGCAAGTGTTATCAACATCGGATTAAAATAATTGAGCTCTAGAGGGTCCACAACCTTGGTATTAGGCTACATACTTTAACACTTATCAGCATACGGGGAGCGTACTATTAAAATGGGTCTGTCTGTCACACAGACAAGCATTTTCTGCTAAGGGTAAACAGGGATTATAAAAGTATGGCCTATTTGGTATATATTGACAGTAGCGTCACTCAGGCTTTCGGAAAAAAATACCGCCTCCCTGAAAAACACCCACGTAACGCCTACAGGGTAACTATGCTTACTCGAGTTGTTAGATCATTGTGAGACGATTAAACTGTGGAAAAAAGAGTAGGCAAGGGATAGTCCAAGAATATATTTAGGTCTTGATATTCAGTTTAATTGGACTGCGACTGGCGATAATTACAATCTAAGAGGCTTAAAATAGATTTTTGGTGCATGGGGTATTTATCTTGAGATTAACATGTTTTTTTAGGGGAATTTGAAGCAAACGTAAAAGAAGTTATATCATCAAATCTCAGTTTCTACAATAAGCATATACTCACCCAAGTAAGGAAATCTTTATCACTCCCGTGTATAAGGCAACATATTTTGCAAGGGTGTTTTGGTTGAACTGCCTTGAATCTAATATAAAACTTTTCACAATGAGTAAATATGTCCTGTATGACGTCCTTCATTTAGATCGATGAATAAAATTATACATTGTTATGGTGGCTGATAGTGGCCATGTTAAATCTCGCCCTTTTCATAACGCGACAACACGACATCACGACAGTATTGGCGCAATCATACGACACTTAACTCTGTCGTATCATCGTGTTATTTTTATCCTAACGTCGAGATGTCGACTTATTGGCATAGTCTCTTTCTACAAGTCACAAAAATACAGCTGTACTCATCACACTCATTACATCAGATTAGATACAATAAGACTCGTCAAAAGAGATAATAGGAAAGTGTTGATTAATTATTCGTTTTCTCAAAATAATGAAACATTTTGCGCCCAAAATTGAATTATTGGTATTATATTAAAAAAATCTAGAATTATAATAGCAGGACAAAAGTGAGTCAGCTATGTTAATTCCTTGAATAAGAAGTGGTGTCGGTAGGTATCGAACAAGCATGCATTGCCTCGTTTCGACACCCACCAATACTTATAGATTACTGAAGCGATAGTTTAGAAGCGATTTCAGAAGATTTCCAATTTATTTTATTAGAGTGGGAAGGGGATTATATAAAACCTCAAATCAGATCACAGAAAATCACTGCATTGGTGTAGCACGCCATCCCAATAAGTGCAGGGGAGGAATTTTTATGAGGTGAAGAAAGCGATTTGCAGCTGTTATTGACCTTATCGCGTATTCATCCGTTTGGCATCACTAATGGGATCGGGGCTTAGATGATTAAAAATAGGCCCAGTATTGCCTTCAGCTATGAACACACTCCGAAAGTCCCCTACGCACCCCCCCCCCCTCTTATTTTGTTTAACAAATAATTTCGGAATCAATAAAATGGCAGGTCCCTGTCAATGATGTTTGATACGACTTGAAATTAATGTGTCTAAAATTGATTAAACAACATAGGGTAGTAAATATTACATTTCGAATCCGTATCAATGATACATTTACTCAAAATGTTCCTTCTAATGGATCACAATTTAACTTGAAAACAAGGGAAGCAGCCGATCGAAGAAAAAAAGATTTTAAAAAACAAGTTTCAATATGACAGTCGTGGTTCGGTCATGCATTTACATCCGTGGGTGTCATCCTTTCTTTGAAAGTAATGATTGTGCCAAATCTAGATTCGCGGCCTGTAGTTAAAGTGTTGACAGATAAAACGAAAAAAAAAAACAGACCTATAAAAATATATTTTCTAAAACTATTTTAATTTTGAAATTATATTATTTTCCCATTTGCCAAGTGTTTTAGCGAATAGTTATAGAAAGGGTCTTGTCGATTAAGACTATAGCGCATGTGCAATGTGCAGTTTTAAACTTCCGAGACGACAAGTCGATGATACGACAGTTTCGCTTTTTGTCGTGCCGTCGTATCATCGACTTGTTGTGGCGATAAGTCGATGATACGACGGCACGACAAAATTTTGTCGTATCATCGACCTTATTTTGTCGTGCTGTCGTATCATCGACTTATCGCCACGACAAGTCGATGATACGACGGTACGACAAAACACTAAACTGTCGTATCATCGACTTGTCGTCTCGAAAGTTTAAAACTGCACATGCGCTATAGTCTTTATCTACAAGACCCTTCTATAAATAAAAAAAAAACTGACACAGTTATATGGGACAACAATTACTGTTTTATTATACACAAGCACAACGTTTCGATAAGTATTCTCTTATCGCTATCATTGTGCTTGATAACGATAAGAGTATATTTATCGAAACGTTGTGCTTGTGTATAATAAAACAGTGATTGTTGTCCCATATAACTGTGTCAGTTTTGTTATGTTTCCAATTGCTAAATGCCACTAAAGGATTATATTACCTTCTATAAATATTCGCTAAAACACTTAGCACATGTGAAAACAATATAATTTCAAAATTAAAAGAGTTTAAGAAAATATATTTTATAATTCTAAAAAAATTTTTTTTTATGTATTAGAAAAATAAATAAAGACATTTGAAGTATTTGTCAGGAGGGCCTGACAATGACAGCTGTCTAGTCGTTCGGATGGGACGAAACACTGAGGTCCCGTGTACACATTGGCGTGCACGTAAAAGATCCCTTGGCAGTTGGATTTCGATATAAGAGCGGGCCGTAGCGCCGCTTCCCGGGCAAAATTCCCTCATAGCACACTATATGGCGTATGCCCGTCGTCTTTAGCCCAGCTTAGGAGAGAACAGTAGGACGTTAAACCCCATTTCATTTCATGCCATCCTGTCTTTGAAAGTAATGATTATGCCAAATTTGAACATCTAGTTCCGCAGTCTGTAGTTATACCAGAGGGTTGACAGATAACACCTTAAAAAAACAGATCTATGAAAATATATTTTCTAAACCTTTTTTAATTTTGAAATTATATTGTTTTCACGTGTGATAAGTGTTTTAGCGAATAGTTGTAGAAAGGGTCTTGTAGATTAAGACTATAGCGCATGTGCAGTTTTAAACTTCCGAGACGACAAGTCGATGATACGACAGTTTGGTTTTGTCGTATCATCGACTTGTCGACTTGTCGTCTCGGAAGTTTGAAACTGCACATGCGCTATAGTCTTAATCTACAAGACCCTTTCTGTAACTACATGTATTCGCTGAAACACTTAGCACACGCGAAAACAATATTATTTCAAAATTAAAAGAGTTTTAGAAATATATTTTTATAGGTCTGGTTTTGTCTTTGATTTTTTTTACGTTTGATCTGTCAACACTCTACCTATAGGCCGCGAATGTAAACTGACTTTGTTCAAATTTGGCACAATCATTACTTTCAAAGAAAGCATGACACTCTCGAATGTAAATGCATGACCGAATCACTACTGTCATATTGAAATGTGTGTGTTTTTAAATCTTTTTCTTCGATCGCTGCTTTCCTTGTTAAATGATGATCCATTGGAAGGAACATATTGAGTAAATGTACGTTATCACTGATACGGATTCAATATGTAATAATATTTCTCATGTTTAATCAATTTTTGACATATTATTTTCCAGTTGTATCAAACATCATTGATACCATTTTATTGATTCTGGAATTATTTGTAAAACTAAATAAGAGACGTGGGGGGGGGGGGATATGAGGCTTTTAGAGTGTATTCATAGTTGAAGATATTACTGGGCCTATTTTTACTCATCTAGGCCCCAATCCCATCAGTGATGTCAAACGGATGCAAGCCTATATGCGATAAGGTCAATAACGGCTGCGAATCGTTTTCTCCACCTCATAAAAAAAACTCCTGCATCTATTTGGGTGAAGTGGGGGGGGGGGGGGGTATGAGGCTTTTAGAGTGTGTTCATAGTTGAAGATATTACTGGGCCTATTTTTACTCATCTAGGCCTCAATCCCATTAGTGATGTCAAATGGGAGAGAGAGAGAGAGAGAGAAAGAGAGAGAGAGAGGGGGTTTAACGTCCACTCGACACAAATTAGGTCATTTCGGGACTAACATATGGTTTAATTTTATTTCAATAAATCGTTTGCGCGTAGGGGTTTTTAGCAGTGGGAGGAAACCGAAGGACCCGGAGAAACCCCACGAGGTTTGACAGGCGACCCTACACCTTGTCAAGTACAACCGGGGATTCAAAACCACGCCAGTTGACTCAATGACAGGCTGCGAATCGTTTTCTCCACCTCATTCAAAAAAAACTCCTGCAACCATTGGGGTGACGTGCTGCACTATGATAATGCTGTGATTTTAAAGAATGTGACCCGATTTGGTTTTTTTACAATCCCCTTCCCACCCTGTCTTCTGAAATCATTTTTAAACTATCGCTCCAGTCATCTATAAATATTGGTGGGTGTCGTACACATGGCAATGAATGCTTACTTGTTCGATACCTCCCGACACCACTTTTTCTTCAAGGAATTAACTTAGATAATTCACTTTGGTCCTGCTATTGTAATTCTAGATTTTTTAAATATAATACCAAATATAATTCACTTGTGGACACAAAATGTTTCATTATTTTGAGAAAACAAATAATTAATCAACGTTTTCCTTTTATATTTATCAAATCTACTACTTAGGCCTATATATGATGTAATGAGTACAGCTGTATTTTTGTGACTTGTAAAAAGAGACTAGGACAATAAGTCGACATCTCGACGTTACGATAAAAATAACACGATGATACGACAGAATAAAGTGTGGTATGATTGCGTCAATACTGTCGTGATGTCGTGTTGTCGCGTTATGAAAAGGGCGAGATTTAACATGGCCACTATCAGCCACCATACATTGTAGTATTTTTTAGACAAAATAGAATCTTTTAATGACGCTTTTTGTAAACAGCAATGCCTTTTACACTAGTTGAATGGACTTGTAATGTTAATCAGTTTAAAATAGACACAAAGATCCATTAAAGATGCATTATTAAAGAGCTGCATCTGTATAGTGCAATTCTTTCTTTTAGCCTCAAATGATATATAAATTGTTTATTTATTAGACATTTATTCACAGGACAAGTCCATAATCAACTTACTTGACCATTGAGACTGATGCCATCAGCCGTAATCCCAAAATGAATAGATGAGAAGAATGGAAACCACGCCAGTTGACTCAATGACAAATCTATGATACAGCGCGCATGCACTAATCATTCGGTCATCCAACCCCACCAGTGAGTTATGAGGAAAAGTCTACTCTTATATTGACTTAACAACTGCCAAGGGATCTTTAACTGAGCTTTTCATTTTTTGGGACCGAGCCTGTGGAGACTTGTTCACGGGAGCGCTTAATTGGTTTCATGGGGCGGGGTACAAAATTTCAAAAGGAAGACTGTGTATTATCGTAAGAATGGTGGCTATGAAAATATGCTATTCTTATGAAAACTTCTTACAATCATAACGTTGCTCAGAATACAAACTAATGTTAAATATTTTATGAAAATCCACCAAAGGAATATTATTTAAGGGAGAACAAGTCGAGAATAGCTTTTGCTAAACTGAATAATATCGGCAGCCATGCGCTTTATGCAACTACTATCCATTATTAAAAAGTATTTGATAGTCGGTTTAGACCTGTACTTTGATCAACAAAAAATCAGCCAGGGTCTAATTCTGGAAATAGGTTTGTTGAAAGACCATGAATGGACAGGAGTCATCTTTACACCGCTGCTAACCGTCACTAACCCCACTTGAATTGTAGAGCGAGTGCTGGTAAGTGTATCCCGCGGACAAGGGCGTATGGAAATAACAGTTTCTTTTCAGTGGTGTG